CATTAAGTTTATACTCAAAAGTTAGTATTCATGGTGTGAAAATGGTTTAGTTCTAAAAGTGGCCTGTTTTGCCATTATATATCACACACATCATACAGGCATCAGACAGAAAAGAAAAACAAATCTCAGGGCTTTATAATGTAGCACATTATAAAAAGAAACATATCCGTTTGTCTGTGTGCAGATTAAATGACAGTACTGTACTTGACCTTTTTTTCTTAGAACTAACTCTGTTAACACAACTTTGCTGACCACTAGTATGTATAGAAGCACAGCTGGTGCATATTTTAGACACGGCAGTGATTTGCACAACAGCTAAATGAATGTGCTAACTGTGATGAAAACAACAAAAGTGAAAACATGTAAAATGACTGGCATCATTTTCTGTAAGTGAATGAAAATGCTATCTGATTAGTAGGACTGTTTAAATTCAAACAAGCACATATTCACTGCTGACACACAGGTCGTGTGTCAGCAGTGAATATGTGCTTGTGTTTCTGTCTTTTTTTGCTGAATGTTGAATGCATTCGTTAAAAGTAATGTAGGGCAGCGAGTTCAAAAAGCAGACAAACAAAACATGAGCACGTATGGAAAGCACATGGAACTGATGATGATATTTCTCACGTGTCAGCAAAGAAATCTGGCAGAGGATTAATCTAAGGTAAATGTTGTGTAAAGATTAGAAACTGCCTCGGAGCTTAATGTGAAATTATCTGACAGTTCGTGGTCGGAAATGAGTGTATAATGAGATCACCGTGGCAGCATAAGCCATCAGGGAAAACAAATCCCTCTCTACAAAATACCCTACTTCCTTCCATCATCGTGAGCAAAAGTGCACCACGGACTAGGCCGGCTTCCCATGCGTATGCAGAGTGAGTGATAAGTGCTTTAAATGCCTGAACTTTAAACCGTTCAAAAATTCCAAATCCCTACAATCTTCTTTGAGTAGGTCTTAATGTAGTTGGACTGTGTTTTAAGTACCGCAAGGATAAAACTCCTAATGGTCATCATAAACTGTAATCCAAAGGGATTCTGCTCTTAATCCAGGATCGAGGTCCAGGAAACTGTTCAGTGCAAGTCTAGTGCAATCTCATTTTATGGCGTGATATCTCTCCTGCTCTGACTTTACACCATACAGCACTGTGTGTTAGCTGTAAATATTTACGGCTCATCGTATTGGAGCATAATCCAGATGCAAAGTAACATGGAAAATTAAACAGACAGCTGGTTGAAGGCAGGCATCACATGGACAAAGCGTGTTTTTCCATTCTACAACCTCGAGTTTTAAACATTTAATGATCAGTTTGTATATTTGAATTTAAGCCCCAGTGTTGTTAGAGTTACCCACTAAGCATCATTTGCAGCGTGCGGCACTTTACATATAAATGAGACTCAAAACCTGTAGCAACAGACGATTTATTTCGCCATTTGTTTGCAATGTCCCTGACAAACCTGTTGGTCTAATGATCTTTCACTAGCAACCTGTAAAGCACATGTGTGAAAAAAAAAGAAAAAAAAATCAATGGCAAGTGAAAAGACTCTATCGTCTAAGACTGCCTGTAAATAGAGTTTGTAGTGAGACTCTTTTGTCAACTGGACAAGCTATGATGAAATCGAGCACAATCTCGATGCTGCCAATCCATCAGGGACAATAAAAAGTTTATAAATTATCATTTCACTAAACTATCTTTATACGTACATATGCACCAATTTATCATTTATTCTGTAAAAAAAGTATTTACTGTAAAGTAATGCTGACTTTTGCTTCTCCTCAGAATAATTTTAAGTAAACTTACAGCAGAATCAGAGCACAGAATTCTACCTTCGTGACAGATGGTGTGTTTGTCACTGCAGTCTAGCTCTGAGGTATTTTTCAACACTATTTGTTCGCAAATGGTCTGCTAATAAAACACACTGCCAAATGACCAAACACTGATTTATGAAGCTGTAGTAATTGCAGTAGTAACTCAAAAAACAAAACTGCATTCTGCCATAAAGCATATAAAAAGTCTCAGATCCTTGTGGATCTACAATTGAACGGGATGCAATAGTGTGCTTAAACCCAAGAAGTTTTACATTGCTATTTACTCTAACAGTGTGCGGTAAGGAGATGCATGTGTGCAGTGCCACTGAAAACAGCATGGCACTGAGGGTGAATCTCAGGTCAAGGTGATTTGTCATGTCAAACAACTTTTCACCTCGACTTCTTCGGTTGTTCACCGGCCTGACAGCCTTCAGCAATGCCACAGTGTTTCCAGGCTCCGCTTCATAATTGATGAGGAAGAAGGGAATATGGGATTTGATCCAGAGTGGCGGTGCCATTTGGGCCTAGGACAGATGTATAGATGTGCTCATTTTAACTCTTCCTCTGAAATGGCTATGCCACTAAGGGAATGGTGACTAGCTCAGTAGTAAGCTAAAAGACATTATGAGCATTAAAAATGACCAGCTCTTTAGGGATTATACACGGCAGCAGAATATGACATAGCACTTTAATATGTACATAATACTGAGGTGGAAAATTCACAATCCTGTGAAATAGTGCAAGTATAGGGTGGGGCACTGGGGGAAACTGATTATACATCACACTGATGGTAGAAGTTCAAAGATAAAATATAAATTAAGGGATGATTTGGTTTCTGATCTAATGAAAAAATATGAAGAAATTAGACAGTGAGTTTCAATGTAACCATTTCTTGTGATTAAGTATGATGTGACTTCTTATAAGTCGTAATACGGTGTACACTGTAACAAAGCTTCCTGCTGAATTACAGTGAACTGCTGGCAGCTCTATTTGTCAGCATGAAACTCTGCAGTGCATCGACTACAACACTTTTTAAAATTATTTTAAAGAACATTACAGTACTGTGCTGTAATTATCTAAAGTAAGGATTTGAATAAACCTTACAATATATTAGTCCTAGTTTTTGTGAGATGACTGAAATGATGTTGTGGGACTTGAAGCAACATGATTTCACTTATGCAAAGAAAGTCAAACTCCAGCTTAGCTTAACTGCCAAAGAAAAATACCCTACTGTATTCTAGCTTGCTGTTCACATTGTATTTCTGAAAAGCATCAGCATTTCGAGTATTCACTGTACTTAAGAAACATTAGTGCACCAATTTCCCTGTCATTTTTTGCAGCAGTAGATCTGAGTGTCATCCAAGTTATGAAAAAGATGCAACTAAATACCCTAAAAATTGCTCTTCACAGTGAAACAGATAACTTAGGTGAAATATTACCATAGGTGAAGGTTGACTGTGTAGGCTTTTGTCTAAACATTACTTTTTATGCAGTCACAGACCAAAGTTCTAATATAAATTTAATGCATTCACTTGTGTTCACACTCTATGATCTGTCTCAACTTTACACAGGGAGTTAAGCCTCCAACATAAAAGTGAACTGCACAGATCATTTCTTTTTTTTGCCCTGCCACTCTTGCATCCAATTTCTTCTTCTTTGCTCTTCTTACAGTTTCTCTCCCTTGTCGAATTGAAAGGCACGGCGAGCTTTAAGCTAAAAAGGAAACTGCAACGAATCGGATCGCTGCTGAACTCTGAAGACATTTTTAAAACTTAATGTTTGAACTTATGAGCATCTAGTTTGATATGATTTATGTCTAAAAGCAGGTGAAGAATATTACTTTTGGAAGGGCGAGCACTTTCCAGACTAAAATTATTGTTATGATTTCTCAGTCATTTAATTAAATCTTTTAAGGCCTCTGCAAAATAGCAGAAACTAAAAATTTAGTTTCTATTTTAAGGACAAATCTGTTTCAGTAAGCCTTAAAGGTGTTACGTGTTTAGAGTATATAAAAAGTATTTTCTTTAGAGCGTGCCTTTTAATCTCATGCTCACAAATCATCCAGAATGCGTTTTTTTGTGTTTTATAAATTGTAAACCAACAGAATCAAAAGCTGATGATGACTATAACTAGAAGAAACTGGCTTCAAAATGAAACTGTTTAATTAAGCTCTCTCAGCCCCCACCTTCCACATCTATTTCCACAGTTTTCAGAAGCCCACTCTCCTTTAAACTGAATGATGGAACCCAAATGTAAATAACTCAAGTCGGATCATTAATACCGGTGTTTGAATCGTGCCATCTGCAAACAGCTGCGGTTATATCATATCTCATAGTTTTGATGTCCACTAAAAACTGTTGCATAACTTTCTGTGTTAACCGTGGAATTAGAAAACGTATCCTCTAAGCCTTTGAAAAAAAACATTTGAAATCTTCAGGATTTGATAACAGTCTTAAATATACTTATTTTACAATCCAATCTACTAAGATTTCAGACGAAACACTAATTAGTTTTAAATAAACTGTCACATTGAAATGAAGCAAATTTTTACTTATGCACACTGAAAAACAAACAAACAAACAAAAAAAAAACATGACAAAATACAAACTGCAAAGACGAACAATGCAAACACAATTCCAACATGAAATCTCAGCTGACCTGTGCTTTAATCTTTTCCCTTTTTGCAAAGCTTTGCTCTTTGTGAAGGAGTAAAATAAGGAATGCATATCAAACCGTCTGCATCACCACATATATCTATGAAAAATGTCTCAAACTGCCCTCCACATCCGGTCTGTGCATGAGCTTTTATTCATTTGCAATTGTTTAAGATGCATAATGACAAAACCATAGTAACCATCTGTACATGTATTTTGGCTTTTTTTGTACACTTTTTTTTCTGTTTTTTATTGTTTTTCTAATATATGTATAATCCCCTTTTTCCTTGTGTCCCCTGTGCTGCTGTAACAAGTGGATTTCCCCAGTGTGGGATTAAATAAAGTCTATGCCTATGTCTTAAATAGCTGCAAAGCATTTAAATCTCATGCAACGACCTGGGGATCAAACATATCCACAGAAAGTTGTCATGTTAAAGGATATGTTCTAATGTTTATTGCATTAAAGCTAAAGCCAGCAGTGCTAAACAGTCACAAAGCAACATCACACTCAAAGCAGCCATGAGAAAAAAAATTAAACTCACCTTAGCGACCCTGTTGGCAACTTCCCGGCCCACCATTAACCCCTGGACGAACGTCCTTGCAGCGATGAATGCTCTGGTGACCTGGGCCTTAAGTTTTCTGGGAATGTCTCCAAAAGGCTTTAGCTGATCTGTGTATTTACTGACGCACTCCAGGTAGTCATCTGTAAAGTGGTACTGGGAGTTAAGTAACTGGAACATGCGTTCCAGCAGCCTGGACCAGAAGTCATTTAGCATCTCTTCCAAGTTGACGTTGCCCCCCGTGTAGTAGCGCTTTAGCTCAGTGAACAGGTCCTGGAATACTTCAGAGTTCTGCATATACAGCTTCCCGTATGTCCGTGTGAACATACTGTTGAGTGACTTCTCAGAATTGTCCAGCAGTTCCAAGAAAAACTCTATATTTATGGATGTTTTGGGAGATGGGAGAGAAAAGGGGATAGAAAAGACACAAAGCTGGGTCACCACATGATATTTACCATCTTCTTTCCCGCAGCGTAAACCAAACAAAGGGATGAGAACATCTATCGAAGTATGCCTGTTGTATCTATGGTAATTCAGTGGCTTATTTTATGGCCCTGTCTGCATATACAGGAGCAATGTATAGCAGCCAACAATAGGTACTTGATTATGTGAAGAAAGTCAGCTCAAGGCATTAATAATTTAATAGCAGAAATAATGGGCCACAAGGACTATGAATGATTAATGTAAAGTTTCTGATTGCATACTGTAACAAAATATTCATAAGTTTTAGACACAGACACTAGTATACATTATCATCCTGGGCACCCACCATTATTCCCAGACACATTAGTTTCTCACTGAAACAATTTATTTGTCCACTGAGGCAGCTGGCCTATGGGCCTATAATTGAATATTGTGTTACGGAGCCTTTATTCCTTTTGAATTATCTGAATAGTGTGTGCCAACATTTTACTGTAACGACCTTTTTTTAATCAGTATAATTGTCACAGAGTTAGTATATGCGCCGTACATTATGTAACGTTATGTCATTTTATAATAAACCTTTACATTAATTACCTTGTAACATCAATTCTTGCATTTCACAAACATTCTGTAATTACTGAGCACTTCATGCCCATGCAGCGGCCTGTTATTGATTCAGGTTGCTTAAAAATCAGTGTTAACACAAAGAACATCGAAATTCACGAGTGAAATTTTGCAATTCAGATTTAACATTCAAAGCAATTATATTATTGTTTCTTTGTCATCTGTCTAAGTGCCTTTCTTCCATGTGAGCACCTGATCTCTGGAGTACTAACTCAGCCAACAAAGAGAAAAACAGAGAGAGAGAAAAAAAAAGCAGAATTAGCTGGGGAGTCTCACTGAAGCCGAGCTAATAGGATCCCATGTTCCTGAGTGCATAGGCGTAAATGTTGGGAAGATTATAACACGTCGCTCCAAGCACAAATGTCAAATATTCCTCCACTCTTCTTTGCAAACAAACACTGCAGACATTTTACGTGTCGTGCTTGCTAATAAACCATCGGAGGGCCTCTTCTTCTGGTTGGTATTCTGGGTGGCTGACATTTCTTTGCATTGTTAATGATAGCAGTCGTAACCTTACATGGTGGGCACGTGTTGTTCTAATGATAGTTTCTACTTTGATAATATGACAACCCACAAGGCATGATGAATATGTTCTCATGTAGCCAAGCAGGGTTTAGCTATGAATTATTAAGAAAACAACAAATTCAAAAATCATGTAAACTCTTAAAAATATTATATCTACTATACGTTAGAATACGGTTGTTTCATTTTACAAGATTAACAATAAAATGACCATCATGCCCCACATATTGGAATCATTCTTTCCTGAGTGCATCACAAGAGTCATATTTAAGCTCTTCATGTATAAAAGTAATGTTTAAATAAGCTCCTGGCCATGACATCTGAATAATCCACATATCTGCACCAGTGTCACCATATGTCAACTGCAGCACTTACAGCTGACATATGCCATATGACCAACTTTGTATTTCTTGCATTTTTTTGTGTGTGTGCAAACGGTACGACGTGTACACATACCTGAAATTGCTATCAGTCTAATCCCTAGTGACTCATTCTAGTTTCTTTGCAGCTAAATGACCTGCCACTACACCAACATTTGTTTAAATATTAGCAGCCTGCAGGGCCTTTTCCACTCCATTTTTCCAATTAGATCTGAATCAAGGACACATAAGCCCTTGTGTATTGCGCGTGCTATTGTATCCGTACCATTTAAATTGCTCACACACTGAGCGGTAAATGTGGAAACTCATGCGCATTTGCAGCCCAACATGTGGATATTTAACCTAAAATGATTTACACTTAATATATTCTGAAGTATTTCAAAATATATGATTAAGGGTAGTTTGAGCATAAATAGCATATTCTGAGATGGGGGAGGGTCTGTGCTGGTGGACGTCGGTTACTGGCCTGGTAGCCTGGCTGCCCCTGGGTGGGTCCGGGACGGGCGTGGAGGCTTGGGGGTCTGGGGGTGCTCCGCCCCTGGTCTGGGGTGCTGGCTGGGCCTTGGGGCTTGGGTCCTGGTTGTTGTGTCGCCGGGGCTGTGGGCGGGTGGGTGCAGGGGGACTCAGCCCCAGTGCAGGGGACCTCTGGTGCATCGACCTAACTAGGGGGCTCTCTAACTGGTGGGGAGGTTGTTATATCTTTGCAGGTGGTCTCCTCACTACAGGAGCTCACTCTGCAGGTGGGGGGAGAGATTTAGGAGAGGTGGAGAATGAACTCAACCTGGGCATCTATTGTCTTATGTAGTTTGGGAGATGATTGGATGATGGGGTGGGTGCAGTTTTCTCTGCGGTGGAGTCGGGTGGGCTGCCCCGGACTCTGTGGGGCTGGGCGGTGCTGCTGCTGCTGCTGCGGGCCCCGGTCCGGATGGGCCTGGGCCCCCTTGCCCTGGTGGGTTCCAGAGTGTGGAGGTGCCTACTGGGGTCAGCGGGCCGTTTGCCCCTCCCTTTCTTTCCTCCCCATCCTCAGCTACCTCCCTCTTCCCGCTCTACCACACCCACCCACACACGCAGGGCTTCGGGTGCAGGTATGTCACCAGGGTGCAGGGGAGGCACTCCCCCTCTGTCCCCTTCTGGCCGCCTGTGCCTCAATTTTATTCTGCAACCTAGACATCTATTACTCACACTCTCACATAACACATACATATAGGGCCTTGGGGGTGGGCACGTTTTACAGCATCCAATCCAGAGGATGGTCGGTGTACTCCAACCCACCTCTGGCGCTGGTGCCCTACCCTCAATTTTAAATGCATTTAGACACTAAGGGTTTTCGGGAGGAGCCATGCTGCTCTCTGGCAGGAAGCAGGAACCATGCTCTCCTGAGTTTTAAATGCACTTTAGAACAGCACACAGCAACACTATATATGAGCGGGCGGCGGGAGGTTTGGGGTCTTCACTCACCCCGGTTCTGTTAGCCGTCAGGGCTCAGGGGCTGGGAGGAGGTGTTGGCCGTCAGACTGGGGTCTGGGATGCGGGGCCCCCTGCTACTGCAGATAAGGAAGTGGTCCGCTTGCCTCCACCCCAGAGAGAAGGGTTAAATCTTCTGGGTCTAGGTGCAGCTTGCCCCTCTGGGGGCGGGGGTACCTGGACCTGGGATATAGAGCATGTTTGGGGAGTGTGACTGTCTGGGCAGCATCTATTTGTGTCTGTCTACACGTTGGGTGAGTGCCGAGTATTTGGTTGTGTATATGGGGTGGGAATGCACGTCTGTGTCCGCGTGTGCCTGTTCGTCTGTGTCTATATGTCAGGTTGGGTCTTAGACTCAACCTCTCTGGGTACATCTCAGGCCCTCTAAAGTACGGAGGCCTATCTCCCCTCACCACACTCCCTGCCGGTGGCTGATGCCCACAGGCGTTGGTGTGTTGGTGGTTCTTGTCGACTGGGGCTGGGCGCTCATGTATGTACTGGATCACTCTTGGTGGCCGATTGGCGGGGCCTGGCGCCTGTGGCCCGGCTGGGCCCCTTCCAGGGGGTGGGGTGCCCTCAGGCCTCTGGGCCTGAAGCTCGGTCCTCTCTGGCACAGCTGGCTGCCGCCACTGCAAACCCCTCTGGCCTCTGCTCCGTGGCTGCTGGGTGACCTCTCGTTTGGGGCTCTACTCAGCTCTTCCCAGGAGGGTGGCACGGTTCCCCCCCTTTGGTGGTTCTCCTCGGGTCCTTGTACTCTGGGGCCTGGATCTCCTCCATACCTGCTTCATGCCCTGGGGGACGGGGCTGTGGCTCCCCACACTCCCTAGCAGATCGTTACATGGAGAAACCTTTGGAATACAAGCGTGCTGATCCACACAGGTGTGCACACAGGTGTACACACGGGTGTTCACAGACGCGGACTACAGCTTTCTTGGCTGCTGCCTCAAAGCACATTGTGCGCTGTCTATCTTGCGTGCTGCACAATATCATTTAGTATCTACTGTTATCTACTGCTAGCTAGTTTATTGTGATGGTGCTGTATTTATTATGTTGCTCTTGTTTGTTTGTTTTCTCTTCTGTTTTTTTTTCTCCATTCAGGTGATCCAGGTGTTTTGTTTGTTTTTCTTTCTTCCTTCCCCCCTTTCTCACCATCTCTTCTCCCCTCTGTTTTTCTTTCTTTCTCTCCCTCTCTTTCTTTCATTCTTTCTCCCTGTCCTATCCCCCAGTCATGTCTGTCCCGTCTGTAGCAACTGAAAATAAAATAAAATAAATACATAATTATAATAAAGGTCAATCAAATGGACCCAAGGCCACGATGATCCACTTGATAAAGTAAATCTGCTTGGCATCTTTCTTGGCCTTAAGACAACAATTCTGATGGCTAAAGATCCAAACGGGACAAAAAAAAAAATAGCATATTCTTTTAGTTGGTCGAGGATTCATTTAAAACTACTTGACACTGCACGGTCCTCCCGAGCAGCATCACCACATGAGCACATGAAGTGCAAACTACTCCAGAAATGCAACATGACCTTCACATGATGAGCTCTGACATTATGAAATGAGTGAAAAGAGCCCATTTATAGTAAATGCCACAAACCTGTGTGATACAGGTCTTAGGTAGACTAAGACAGTGCTATAGACAGTAGCGTTCCTTGCATAAAAAAATTGTCCACATACCTTTTGAATACTTTGAATATAAAAATAGTGAGGCAGTGAAAGATGAGTACATTGCAGTTAATTCCCTGAAATAAATGGCCAAAGGAATAAGATAAATTTTACTAAAGAAACAGAACTCACAAATTTAATCAAGTTCTACACGGCCTAACGTGGTCCCCGGCAATGCTATGAGTGGTTAGAAACAGATTACACACTATTCTGCGCAGAAGTGTCAGGTTAAGTAAAGTGACTGCTGAAAGATAATAATTAGATAAGATAACCCGATAAAACGCCCTCAGGAC